CTGAAAATGTATTTGTTTAATTAATAATTTGTTTAATTACTAAGACACAAACAGTTGTAATATTTCATCAAACCTGCACTATCTTCTGTTTACTCATTACCTGAAACTGTCATGTAGGTGCAAGGGAGTGCCTTCCAGCCTGATATGCATCATCAAGACAGGTTTTGTTTAGGCAGTTATTGCCCTGGGCTGATCAGTCAAAGAGTGGGAGCAAGTTTCAGGGGCTTTCAGCTTAGTGCATACATTCTGTGCACAGCAGCTGAAAGGGTGTCGTCATCCTCCCTTCAGGATGCTTACAAAAATAAACAAAAAGGTATATTTACAGTCTGTGGTTAAATACACAGCTGCGTTTCCAGCCAATAATTCTTTAACTGGAACTTGTTCAGAGGAAAGTAAAAGAAACCAAGATGTTGGTATTTAATCATCTAACCCTGAGTTTACAGCAGTGATTCAGAGAAACCCACTGTGAGAGCCAAGAGCAGATGTTATCTCTTATGATCAACATGCTCGCTACTCTGATCACATCAGGTCCGATAGCACTTTCTGAGCAACCTCCGGCTCAAGTGAGCAATAGGCTTGATTTCAGACGGGGGGTTTGATTTTATTCCTGCTCTACATTGCAGTTGTAGGTCACTCTATTAAAGATTAATCAAGTGGAAAGTGCTGAGGCCCACTGGATTCAGCCTGTTTTTACAGGCCTCTGGATGCCCTGCTGGTCCAGTGCACTGAGAATGTGGAGTTTAAAGAACACAAAGATACCAGCAAGGTTTGAAAAATCTATGTGAGAAGAGGGAGACAGACAGACTGTGATTCCAAGTGAGCACTGGGAGTGGTGTTACACACTGGCACTGCCTTGTTATTGTCTCACAAGTCAAAAACAAATCACACCTCTGACTGTATCACCATCAGACAGCTCTGAGCCACAAAAGACATTAATGACGTCCGTAACAAAGGAAGACTAAGAAGAAAATGCACTATAATTTTATTTAAGAGTGTCTCAAGAGTACTAATCACTGACATTTCAAACAAAGAAATATTTTCTGCTTTCTATATCTGACTGTGCAGCACAACAGTGCTTCAAACTGCAGCCAGCTCCTAAAAGCTTTTATATTTGTTGTTGTGAACACCCGGTGTCAAGCAGGTCTATTGCAGGAAAAATCCTGCGCCGCACAGCAAGTGATGCGTTTCATGTTCCCAGCGCTAGAAACAGCACTTTGTTTGGAAATAAATAGACAAAGGACTCTGTGGTTAGTTAGAACGGGAAGCCAACATCGCTGATCAGCCAAAGACGCTCAACAGAAACTCAAATTTCATCCACAGACCTTCTCAGGATAAAAGGAGATGGGCACGTGCTTCAAATGACAATTTCTGGGAAGTACAGTGCAAAATTTAAATCAGCGTGAATGATTGGTGGAAAGATTTCAGCTAAAGAAGAAAAACAAACAAGATTCTTGTGGCCTGCCTCTTCAAAGCACACTAGCATGACTAAACAGAATGTAAGAGTTCCAGTTTTCATGTAAGAATCAGTTCACGCATTAGAGAAGAGAAACCAAAAGAAATGTGAGTCTACTGCCATAGGAACTTTGGGGAAACCCAGTCTGGGGGTATTAGTCTGAGGCCAACACTGGAGAGAATCTTTCCCAGACACTCGTACCATACTGGGAGAAAAGGGAGAGCACTCTAATGCCTCAGGCTCTGTAAAAACCCAGACTGGCTGACTACCAATGAGGGTTGACAGTAATCACTAATGGCCCTTAGACAAGTTGTCACCGTGCCACATTGACATTTAGACCACTTAACAGCTTGGGTTGCTTTAAAAGTCATGCAGTGCTGAAATAGACGACGTCATTCACTCAGCAACATAGATGCAGATGTACAGTCGTTCTTCTCATCTGAATTCCTTTCGGTCACTAATTGATGTAATTCTCCAGATGGTCCCGACTGAACGCAGGGCAGAATACAAAGCACCGCTGAGAGTTGCCCTCTGGTGCCCAGAAGCTATAAGACCTCCATGTTTTTGTTTAATGCTTCTTAAAATACTCATTCGTTTAGGTAGTGCAACACAAACATACAGATTTTCACTCAGTAATGACCTCAATTAGACAAACAACTCACCCCTGTTCTCACCCATCCTGCAAGGACTAGACCATGTGGAAGAATTAATGAGACCAAACTATGGAACAGAACTAATGAGACAAAACTAATCGATGGTCGACTTCCATACTGCAGCAATGAACACTGGAAGTGTTTTTAATGACAATACAGATCTAACTACGCCAGAGGAACATGTATCAGACGAGACACAATTTGTTTAACTAGCCTTGCCTCACATAGCATTCAATAATGTTCCTTGTGAACAGAGCCAGACCACAGCAGGAAGACTTCACCAACGATTAAGAGCTAGACAATACTTTGTTAAAAGGCAGTAAACGCTGTTGTCAGGAAAAAAATAACTGTACATCTGGGGTGGAATGGGTTGTGGCTTCAGAGGAGCGAGTGGAGGACTGACTGTGGAAATGTCAGTTTGAAATTAAACTGTTCAATGGAATGTGGCGCAGTGAAATCCATTTGCAAGTCCTTCCAAAATAGCAGATACTGGAGGCTTTGTGATGTAGCTGTGGGTCATGCAGAGGCTGCTGGACGTGATTACTTTTATTAAAAGCAAAATGGAAATGAAGAGGAAAGCTCTAATGGCATCGCAACAACTATATGAGGTTCCTCCATTTTGGGTACTCTTGTTTTGTTCCCTTAAAGGTCAGCACTGCCAAAACAGCTTGCAAGTGATCCACAGGTCAGAGTTTACCAGGGATTAACTCCATATCAAAGAGCACTTACTTCACCTCTGCAAATACATCCACTGATAACAGCAATTCCTCTTAAATAAGCCGATTTCTGTGATGTATTATGATGGAAGGACTGAGTTCTCAGAGTCTGGGCAGTGAACTGCTGCCACTGCTAGGGTGATTACAAATAAAAACAGGTAGAACATAGAAGCTGAAGGAGGAGATGGGATGAAGCAATAAAAAACTAATCTGATTCCAAAAGAAGAACGATACGAGACGTGCTCTTTTCTCCAGATGAAAGCCTTTTACATCTAAGTGTGAGCCAATTATTTTTCTTGTTGAGAGAAAATATGAACATCTGTGTCTGTGTGAATCAGTGAATAATGGTACACTACACAAGGACCTCTGAACGCACACACACACACAAAGGCACACATGCTTACAAAACACACACACGTGCATTTGCACTGTGGGTCAGGTGACTTCATATTTGTTGTGAGGTGGGCAGCTCCTTGCTGAAGATTAAAGACTAACACTGCCAAAGGTGGTTTAGGGTTTTAGAGATGGACAGAAGCACAACATTCCCACTTCATCATTAGGCCCTTAAAGCCAAGAGATAAGGAACTCTTTGTTGTGGCCCCGAGCCCCAGCGGACATCCACCCCTGATTGACAGGCTCTAGCGGATTTAGCCTCTGGGTCGACATGAGGTCCAGGGAAAAAACAACATTCTTTCACTGACTGGCCATATAACATAAAAATACTCCCATAATCTCTCCCGGAAGATAGTTTTGGGTTTGGGAATGTTTATGTTAAATTCCATATCCAGTCCTCTGCCTGTCATTAGCCACATCACTGGTCAGATAGCTGGCAGGAGCCCCTGGCATGAGGTGATTATGATGCGATGCAGATCTCAGCGCAGAGCAGTGAATCCACCTTCGCTGACTTGACTGGGATGAAAGTAGAGCTTGGCTTTCTATGCAGTGCTAATGATGCTACTTCCTGTCTCGTAATCAAAAATACTTCCCCAGCAAAACACAGCATGTATGAAAACAGAGAAATTATCCTTCTGATCACACAAGACTGCTTACTGATTCTGTGTCCAAATGCAACTTGAAAAAGAACTAAAACAATATCAAAGCAAGCTGTCTAATCTTCTGAAGATGTGGCAAAAGGAGGAGCCTTCATCACATTAGCAGACATACAATATCTCAGATCCAGCCAATATCAGAACTTGTTGGTAAAGCAATACTTTGGCCTATGTCAGATGAAAATGTTTAAACATTTAGGACAATTACTGGTCCCTCTGGGAAAGTGCTGTCTGAATAACCCACGCCCCCACCCCTGTCTCAGACCCACAGTTCCCTGACCCCGGCCAGAGCATGGGAAGAGCGAGCCACCCACAGTGGACAGCACAGGAAGGAATGCAAACTCAAGACACAGAGAAACATGGCTGGCAAAGATAACAGTCATAAATAACAGATGTTCCAAGCTTAAAAAAAAGAAAGAAAGAAAGAAAACTAAAAGCAAAAGCCACCCATCTAAAGCCGGCTAGGTCAAAGTAATTTGTCATAGACATGACTGCTAGAAAAGTTGGGATAGGGGAGCTGGAGGCAGTCGTCCCATGGTCACAGCTCCCAGCCCACAGCAGGGTGGGAGTGAATTGATTTGATGTCATCCTTTAACACATGTACAGACAGAGATATGAAATTGTCTTACCTGACGTGTCCCACATATTCAACTCAATCCGATGCTTGTCTATCTCAAAACTGGCTGTGTAGTTTTCAAACACTGTGGGCACATAGTTCTGAAAAAAAAATAGATGCATTTTAGTTATGTAATTAAGAGGAACAAGATAAGCCTGTGTTTACATGGGCTTCAAAAGTGTAGAATGGTGAGAATGCCATCTGTAAAATGATGCACCTGGCAAATAAAATAATAGCAGACTCATTTCACAGCAAAGCTATAACTGTAAATCCTTTTGGGGATATAGTGATATTAAGACAGCCTTAAAGTTTTATGGGCAGCACTGCAGGCACGGTAAAAGTCCATTCAGACATTTCAACCCCGTCATTTTACAGGCGTTTATTACAGCTCCCTTTACACCAGTGTTTTTCCCTCCTGTTTTAACACAGAC